ACGGAATTACACGGCCGCCGAGCGAGAAACTTTGGCTGTAGTGTACGCCCTGCAGTGCTGGCGAGTCTACCTATTTCGCCACTTTCAACTCTACACCGACAACATGGGAGTTGTCTACCTCAGGACCAAACCAAACTTAACCAAGAGAGAGGCTCGATGGATTGAATTCCTGGCCGACTATGACTACACGGTACATCACAAGCCAGGGAAGTGTAACATAGCAGACCCGTTGTCACGTCGACCAGACTTGGAACTGAATGGAATCGAGTTCTCTCTGGATGTGAATCAAGGAATTGCGAATCAGATCTCAGCAGGGTATGATAGTGACCCAGAGCTTTCGCCAGTAATCAAGCGCTTGATGGCTTGCAGCGAAGACGCCATGCATGAGCGATACGTCTGGAACAGTGTGGACCGGCGGCTGTACCTAGTAACATCGGGCGATGCTCGCCTCTGCATTCCTCGCGGTCCGGTACGGCTGCAACTGCTCAAACAGAATCATGATTGCCTGACGGCCAGCCATCCGGGGAGAGACAGGACCTACCTGAAGCTGAGCAGATACTTCTCTTGGCCAGGCATGAGAAGTACTGTGAAGGACTTCGTTAAATCTTGCGACCGGTGCCAACGCGTAAAGGGTAGCCAGACCAAGGCAGGACTGTTGCAGTCCCTTCCAGTCCCCGAACAGCCCTGGACAGACATCAGCATGGATTTCATCATGGCACTGCCGCTGACCTGCCGAGGACATAGCGCCATTCTAACCTTTGTGGACCGTCTGACGAAGTATGTGCACCTGATCCCGACGACTGTTCATGTTGACTCTAAGGAGGCAGCCCGATTGTACGTGGATCATGTGTTTGCTGCCCATGGCTTGAGCAAAACGATAGTTTGTGATCGAGATCCGCGATTCACGTCGGCGTTCTTCAAGGAGGTTTTCAGTATTCTTGGCGTGGAGCTAAAAATGAGCACGGCCAACCACCCGCAGACCGATGGCATGACTGAGCGTGTGAACCGTGTCATTGAGGATACGCTAAGAGCTTTCGTCAACCATAGGCAAAACAATTGGGATGAACTCCTATCGCTATGTGAGTTTGCGATCAACAATGCCGATCAAGCATCAACAGGTAACACGCCATTTTTCCTCAACCATGGATGCCATCCAGTTACTCCCTCGAGCTTATTGACGAAGCAGAAAGCTGGAGCTGGCATGGACACGAATGGTCCGCTGTCATGGCTGGATGGCCGCGTAGAGGCACTACGTGAGGCACAGGATGCCATCGTGGCGGCGCAGGCCCGGCAATCATTGTATGCGGATCGAGGACGGGTGGAGGACGCCCTGAAGGAGGGGGATGAGGTGTTGGTCTTCAGGGACTTCCTGCTGACGCCCGAGGAACGAGACAGGCCTTCACACAAATTAAGGCTCAAGTGGTATGGGCCGTTCAAGGTGCAGAAGAAAGTGGCCCCGAATGCGTACAGATTAGCTCTTCCAAGAATCATTCGGGCCCATCCAGTGTTCAATATTGCTGCCCTCAAGCTGTACCATGGCAATGAGATACCGTGCCGTACTCAGCCGGCACCTCCACCCCTAACCGATGCGGATGGCCAAACGCGGTACATTGTCGAAAAGGTGTTGTCGCACAAGAAGAGAGGACGGCGCACGCAGTACCTAGTGAAATGGAAGGGCTACCGAGATGCCACCTGGGAGCCGGAGGAATACTTGATGGATGAAGCAGGAAACGCTATTATTCCGCTGAAAACCTACCTGGACGGTTTTTCATAAAATTGCTATTTAATTGGCAGCCACAGTTGTATTGCTAGTTTCTACGTGTTGCAATAGAAATGTAGCATTCTGCATGATTAGGATAGTGCTTCCCTGCCAGCCAGGCGTTATTTGCAGAGGACATGCACTGGATCTTGAGTTCATCAGTGTTGTTTTCGGCTACCATACATTCCACATATCCATGCATGATCATTAGTTACCATAACTGTTCCTTCGAATTGGTACTGTTCTGACAGTTGAGAGGGGGGAATGGTGTAACAGATTCACTGTTACTACTAACACTAGGAATAGGATACACTTATCACCTGCTATTATCACGCTGCTGCTGTTAGGTGTTATGTCCATCATTGCTTGTTCATGTATATAAGAATGCATTATGGCAAGGATCATTGCTTATTCCAAGAACGACTACGGAAGTTAGTTGGACTGTTACAATCTCACAGTTTGGGGCTTTTTACCCGTGAATCTTCACTTTGCGACTAAACTATTCACAGCAGTGCCACATTTTCTGGGTCACTGAATGTGGGTGCCATCGCCCTACAAACAAACCAAAAATAAAATCAACGCGACCACTTACATTACAGCTGGGTCATTTTATAGAGAGGTACATTGAAATTCAAAGGTCAGCACAAATGGTCAAAATGCGACATTTTCTCACCTTCCTGCCCGTTCACAGCTCAGAAAATGACAATGACCAGCGTCATCTCCTTGGGTAGCTGGACATAGACAAGTGCACCAAGAAAAAGAGCCACATTTCTCTAAAGAACTTGCCCAGGGCTACTGAAAGCTGAAAAATAACCAATCTCACAGTTTGGGGCTTTTTACCCGTGAATCTTCACTTTGCGACTAAACTATTCACAGCAGTGCCAGATTCTCTGGGTCACTTAATGTGGGTGCCAGCGCCCCACAAGCAAACCAAAAATCAAATCAATGCGACCACTGACATTACAGTTGGGTCAAGTTATAGAGAGGTACATTGAAATTGAAAGGTCAGCACAAATGGTCAAAATCCGACATTTTCTCACCTTCCTGCCCGTTCACAGCTCAGAAAATGACAATGACCATGCTCATCTCGTTGTGCAGCTGGACATAGACAAGTGCACCAAGAAAAAGAGCCACATTTCTCTAAAGAACTTACCTAGGGCTGCTTAAAGCTGAAAAATAACCAATCTCACAGTTCGGGGCTTTTTACCCATGAATCTTAACTTTGCGACTAAACTATTCACAGCAGTGCCACAATTTCTGGGTGACTGAATGTGGGTGCCAGCGCCCTACAAGACAACCAAAAGTCCAATCAATGCGACCACTGACATTACAGTTGGGTCAAGTTATAGAGAGGGACATTGAAATTCAAAGGTCAGCACAAATGGTCAAAATCCGACATTTTCTCACCTTCCTGCCCGTTCACAGCTCAGAAAATGACAATGACCAGCCTCATCTTGTTATGCAGCTGGACCTAGACAGGTGCACCAAGAAAAAGAGCCACATTTCTCTAAAGAACTTGCACAGGGCTGCTGAAAGCTGAAAAATAACCAATCTCACAGTTTGGGGCTTTTTACCTGTGAATCTTCACTTTGCGACTAAACTATTCACAGCAGTGCCACATTTTCTGGGTCACGGAATGTAGGTGCCAGCGCCCTACAAGCAAACCAAAAATCAAATCAATGGGACCACCGACATTAGAGCTGGGTCATGTTATAGAGAGGTTCATTGAAATTCAAATGTCAGCACAAATGGTCAAAATCCGACATTTTCTCACCTTCCTGCCCGTTCACAGCTCAGAAAATGACAATGACCAGCCTCATCTCGCTGTGCAGCTGTACATAGACAAGTGCACGAAGAAAAAGAGCCACATTTCTCCAAAGAACTTGCCCAGGGCTACTGAAAGCTGAAAAATAACCAATCTCACAGTTTGGGGCTTTTTACCCGTGAATCTTCACTTTGCGACTAAACTATTCACAGCAGTGCCACATTTTCTGGGTCACTGAATGTAGGTGCCAGCGCCCGACGAGCAAACCAAAAATCAAATCAATGCGACCACTGACATTACCGCTGGGGCATGTTTTAGAGAGGTACGTTGAAATTCAAAGGTCAGCACAAATGGTCAAAATCCGACATTTTCTCACCTTCCTGCCCGTTCACAGCTCAGAAATGACAATGACCAGCCTCATCTCGTTGTGCCGCTGGACATAGACAAGTGCACTAAGAAAAAGAGCCACATTTCTCTAAAGAACTTGCCTAGGGCTGCTTAAAGCTGAAAAATAACCAATCTCACAGTTTGGGGCTTTTTACCCGTGAATCTTAACTTTGCGAGTAAACTATTCACAGCAGTGCCACATTTTCTGGGTGACTGAATGTGGGTGCCAGCGCCCTACAAGACAACCAAAAGTCCAATCAATGTGACCACTGACATTACAGCTGGGTCATGTTATAGAGTGGTACGTTGAAATTCAAAGGTCAGCACAAATGGTCAAAATCCGACATTTTCTCACCTTCCTGCCCGTTCACAGCTCAGAAAATGACAATGACCAGCCTCATCTCGTTGTGCAGCTGGACATAGACAAGTGCACCAAGAAAAAGAGCCATATTTCTCTAAAGAACTTGCCTAGGGCTGCTTAAAGCTGAAAAATAACCGATCTCACAGTTTGGAGCTTTTTACCCGTGAATCTTAACTTTGCGACTAAACAATTCACAGCAGTGCCACATTTTCTGGGTGACTGAATGTGGGTGCCAGCGCCCTACAAGACAACAAAAAGTCCAATCAATGCGACCACTGACATTACAGTTGGGTCAAGGTATAGAGAGGTACATTGAAATTCAAAGGTCAGCAAATATGTTCAAAATCCGACATTTTCTCACCTTCCTGCCCGTTCACAGCTCAGAAAATGACAATGACCAGCCTCATCTCGTTGTGCAGCTGGACATAGACAAGTGCACCAAGAAAAAGAGCCACATTTCTCCAAAGAACTTGCACAGGGCTGCTGAAAGCTGAAAAATAACCAATCTCACAGTTTGGGGCTTTTTACCCGTGAATCTTCACTTTGCGACTAAACTATTCACAGCAGTGCCACATTTTCTGGGTCACTGAATGAAGGTGCCAGCGCCCTACAAGCAAACCAAAAGTCAAATCAATACGACCACTGACATTACAGCTGGGTCATGTTATAGGGAGGTACATTGAAATTCAAAGGTCAGCACAAATGGTCAAAATCCGACATTTTCTCACCTTCCTGCCCGTTCACAGCTCAGAAAATGGCAATGACCAGTCTCATCTCGTTGTGCAGCTGGACATAGACAAGTGCACCAAGAAAAAGAGCCACATTTCTCTAAAGAACTTGCCTAGGGCTGCTTAAAGCTGAAAAATAACCAATCTCACAGTTTGGGGCTTTTTACCCATGAATCTTAACTTTGCGACTAAACTATTCACAGCAGTGCCACATTTTCTCGGTGACTGAATGTGGGTGCCAGCGCCCTACAAGACAACCAAAAGTCCAATCAATGCGACCACTGACATTACAGTTGGGTCAAGTTATAGAGAGGTACATTGAAATTCAACGGTCAGCACAAATGGTCAAAATCCGACATTTTCTCACCTTCCTGCCCGTTCACAGCTCAGAAAATGACAATGACCAGCCTCATCTTGTTATGCAGCTGGACCTAGACAGGTGCACCAAGAAAAAGAGCCACATTTCTCTAAAGAACTTGCACAGGGCTGCTGAAAGCTGAAAAATAACCAATCTCACAGTTTGGGGCTTTTTACCCGTGAATCTTCACTTTGCGACTAAACTATTCACAGCAGTGCCACATTATCTGGGTCACGGAATGTAGGTGCCAGCGCCCTACAAGCAAACCAAAAATCAAATCAATGGGACCACCGACATTAGAGCTGGGTCATGTTATAGAGAGGTTCATTGAAATTCAAATGTCAGCACAAATGGTCAAAATGCGACATTTTCTCACCTTCCTGCCCGTTCACAGCTCACAAAATGACAATGACCAGCCTCATCTCGTTATGCAGCTGGACATAGGCAAGTGCACCAAGAAAAAGAGCCACATTTCTCCAAAGAACTTGCCCAGGGCTGCTGAAAGCTGAAAAATAACCAATCTCACAGTTTAGGACTTTTTATCCGTGAATCTTCACTTTGCGACTAAACTATTCACAGCAGTGCCAAATTGTTTGGTTCACTGAATGTGGGTGCCAGCGCCCTACAAGCAAACCAAAAATCAAATCAATGCGACCACTGACATTACAGCTGGGGCATGTTATAGAGAGGTACATTGAAATTCAAAGGTCAGCGCAAATGGTCAAAATCCGACATTTTCTCACCTTCCTGCCCGTTCACAGCTCAGAAAATGACAATGACCAGCCTCATCTCGCTGTGCAGCTGGACATAGACAAGTGCACCAAGAAAAAGAGCCACATTTCTCCAAAGAACTTGCCCAGGGCTGCTGAAAGCTGAAAAATAACCAATCTCACAGTTTGGGGCTTTTTACCTGTGAATCTTCACTTTGCGACTAAACTATTCACAGCAGTGCCACATTTTCTGGGTCACTGGATGAAGGTGCCAGCGCCCTACAAGCAAACCAAAAATCAAATCAATGCGACCACTGACATTACAGCTGGGTCATGTTATAGAGAGGTACATTGAAATTCAAAGGTCAGCACAAATGGTCAAAATCCGACATTTTCTCACCTTCCTGCCCGTTCACAGCTCAGAAAATGACAATGACCAGCCTCATCTCGTTGTGCAGCTGGACATAGACAAGTGCACCAAGAAAAAGAGCCACATTTCTCTAAAGAACTTGCCTAGGGCTGCTTAAAGCTGAAAAACAACCAATCTCACAGTTTGGGGCTTTTTACCCGTGAATCTTAACTTTGCGACTAAACTATTCACAGCAGTGCCACATTTTCTGGGTGACTGAATGTGGGTGCCAGCGCCCTACAAGACAACCAAAAGTCCAATCAATGCGACCACTGACATTACAGTTGGGTCAAGTTATAGAGAGGGACATTGAAATTCAACGGTCAGCACAAATGGTCAAAATCCGACATTTTCTCACCTTCCTGCCCGTTCACAGCTCAGAAAATGACAATGACCAGCCTCATCTTTTTATGCAGCTGGACCTAGACAGGTGCACCAAGAAAAAGAGCCACATTTCTCTAAAGAACTTGCACAGGGCTGCTGAAAGCTGAAAAATAACCAATCTCACAGTTTGGGGCTTTTTACCCGTGAATCTTCACTTTGCGACTAAACTATTCACAGCAGTGCCACATTTTCTGGGTCACGGAATGTAGGTGCCAGCGCCCTACAAGCAAACCAAAAATCAAATCAATGGGACCACTGACATTACAGCTGGGTCATGTTATAGAGAGGTTCATTGAAATTCAAATGTCAGCACAAATGGTCAAAATGCGACATTTTCTCACCTTCCTGCCCGTTCACAGCTCACAAAATGACAATGACCAGCCTCATCTCGTTATGCAGCTGGACATAGGCAAGTGCACCAAGAAAAAGAGCCACATTTCTCCAAAGAACTTGCTCAGGGCTGCTGAAAGCTGAAAAATAACCAATCTCACAGTTTAGGACTTTTTACCCGTGAATCTTCACTTTGCGACTAAACTATTCACAGCAGTGCCAAATTGTTTGGGTCACTGAATGTGGGTGCCAGCGCCCTACAAGCAAACCAAAAATCAAATCAATGCGACCACTGACATTACAGCTGGGGCATGTTATAGAGAGGTACATTGAAATTCAAAGGTCAGCGCAAATGGTCAAAATCCGACATTTTCTCACCTTCCTGCCCGTTCACAGCTCAGAAAATGACAATGACCAGCCTCATCTCGCTGTGCAGCTGGACATAGACAAGTGCACCAAGAAAAAGAGCCACATTTCTCCAAAGAACTTGCCCAGGGCTGCTCAAAGCTGAAAAATAACCAATCTCACAGTTTGGGGCTTTTTACCCGTGAATCTTCACTTTGCGACTAAACTATTCACAGCAGTGCCACATTTTCTGGGTCACTGAATGAAGGTGCCAGCGCCCTACAAGCAAACCAAAAATCAAATCAATGCGACCACTGACATTACAGCTGGGTCATGTTATAGAGAGGTACATTGAAATTCAAAGGTCAGCACAAATGGTCAAAATCCGATATTTTCTCACCTTCCTGCCCGTTCACAGCTCAGAAAATGACAATGACCAGCCTCATCTCGTTGTGCAGCTGGACATAGACAAGTGCACCAAGAAAAAGAGCCACATTTCTCTAAAGAACTTGCCTAGGGCTGCTTAAAGCTGAAAAATAACCAATCTCACAGTTTGGGGCTTTTTACCCATGAATCTTAACTTTGCGACTAAACTATTCACAGCAGTGCCACATTTTCTGGGTGACTGATTGTGGGTGCCAGCGCCCTACAAGACAACCAAAAGTCCAATCAATGCGACCACTGACATTACAGTTGGGTCAAGTTATAGAGAGGGACATTGAAATTCAACGGTCAGCACAAATGGTCAAAATCCGACATTTTCTCGCCTTCCTGCCCGTTCACAGCTCAGAAAATGACAATGACCAGCCTCATCTTTTTATGCAGCTGGACCTAGACAGATGCACCAAGAAAAAGAGCCACATTTCTCTAAAGAACTTGCACAGGGCTGCTGAAAGCTGAAAAATAACCAATCTCACAGTTTGGGGCTTTTTACCCGTGAATCTTCACTTTGCGACTAAACTATTCACAGCAGTGCCACATTTTCTGGGTCACGGAATGTAGGTGCCAGCGCCCTACAAGCAAACCAAAAATCAAATCAATGGGACCACTGACATTATAGCTGGGTCATGTTATAGAGAGGTTCATTGAAATTCAAATGTCAGCACAAATGGTCAAAATGCGACATTTTCTCACCTTCCTGCCCGTTCACAGCTCAGAAAATGACAATGACCAGCCTCATCTCGCTGTGCAGCTGGACATAGACAAGTGCACCAAGAAAAAGAGCCACATTTCTCCAAAGAACTTGCCCAGGGCTGCTGAAAGCTGAAAAATAACCAATCTCACAGTTTGGGGCTTTTTACCCGTGAATCTTCACTTTGCGACTAAACTATTCACAGCAGTGCCACATTTTCTGGGTCACTGAATGAAGGTGCCAGCGCCCTACGAGCAAACCAAAAATCAAATCAATGCGACCACTGACATTACCGCTGGGTCATGTTTTAGAGAGGTACATTGAAATTCAAAGGTCAGCACAAATGGTCAAAATCCGACATTTTCTCACCTTCCTGCCCGTTCACAGCTCAGAAAATGACAATGACCAACCTCATCTCGTTGTGCAGCTGGACATAGACAAGTGCACCAAGAAAAAGAGCCACATTTCTCTAAAGAACTTGCCTAGGGCTGCTTAAAGCTGAAAAATAACCAATCTCACAGTTTGGGGCTTTTTACCCGTGAATCTTAACTTTGCGACTAAACTATTCACAGCAGTGCCACATTTTCTGGGTGACTGAATGTGGGTGCCAGCGCCCTACAAGACAACCAAAAGTCCAATCAATGCGACCACTGACATTACAGTTGGGTCAAGTTATAGAGAGGTACATTGAAATTCAAAGGTCAGCACAAATGGTCAAAATCCGACATTTTCTCACCTTCCTGCCCGTTCACAGCTCAGAAAATGACACAGACCAGCCTCATCTCGTTGTGCAGCTGGACATAGACAAGTGCACCAAGAAAAAGAGCCACATTTCTCTAAAGAACTTGCACAGGGCTGCTGAAAGCTGAAAAATAACCAATCTCACAGTTTGGGGCTTTTTACCCGTAAATCTTCACTTTGCGACTAAACTATCCACAGCAGTGCCACATTTTCTGGGTCACTGAATGTAGGTGCCAGCGCCCTACAAGCAAACCAAAAATCAAATCAATGCGACCACTGACATTACAGCTGGGTCATGTTATAGAGAGGTTCATTGAAATTCAGGGGTCAGCACAAATGGTCATAATGCGACATTTTCTCACCTTCCTGCCCGTTCACAGCTCAGAAAATGACAATGACCAGCCTCATCTCGTTGTGCAGCTGGACATAGACAAGTGCACCAAGAAAAAGAGCCACATTTCTCCAAAGAACTTGCCCAGGGCTGCTGAAAGCTGCAAAATAACCAATCTCACAGTTTAGGGCTTTTTACCCGTGAATCTTCACTTTGCGACTAAACTATTCACAGCAGTGCCACATTTTCTGGGTCACTGAATGAAGGTGCCAGCGCCCTACAAGCAAACCAAAAATCAAACCAATGCGACCACTGAAA